TCAATCTCAATAATATTTCAAAATCTAGTTTTAATATTCTAGTGAGTTATGAAACGACCCATCAAATCCACGAAGGTCATGAAATACATAACTTCTATTTAAAATGTAGTTTCGAACCCAGCACCTTTTCCTTTTGTTTGTATAGTACTCTCATGAATTACTAGGTAAATAGCACAGAGCAGCACTACCTCCTTGAACAACATCCTAGCAACAGCTGACTAGGGTGGAAGGCAAAGTTGCAAAAACTGTGTTTTACTGTGTAAACTTGTTTATAAACAAGGTAGAAGTTATAATGAATTTCATAAATAGTTTATCAACAAATGTTGCCTAATGAATACGCGGCATAATTTATAGATCACTTCCCACACTCTAGCCAGTGCTATGACTAAACAAAAATATCTGTTGATAATACTCTATAATCACCGGAAACACACTGCAATTGAAGAAGTTGATACATTTAACTAAGTTATATGTTATAGTATGAAAACAAGATGAAGAAATAAATAAAGGCTTACAGAACATTGAATACCTTTTAAATTCTAATTATATTGTGTTGTATAAGACTTCGCGAGGAAATAAGATCCTTACACGAACAGCGATTACCCTTTAAGTATGTTATTTCAGAAAGAAATAAGATCCTTACACAAACAGGGATCTCCCTTTAACTATATTATGTCAGAGAGAAATGATATCCTTACACGAACAGGGATCTCCCTTTAAGTATGTTATGTCAGAAAGAAATAAGATTTTGAAACGAACAGGGATCTCCCTTTAAGTATGTTATGTCAGCAAGAAATAAGATCCTTACACGAACAGTGATCTCTCTTTAAGTATGTTATGTCAGAAAGAAATAAGATTCTTATACGAACAGGGACCTCCCTTTAAGTATGTTATGTTAGAAAGAAATAAAGTAAAATCTGATTATCTGTAAAGCTAACAAGGCTTTGTAAGTCTGTAAAGTTTGATATATGGTTAAATTTCACTATTAGTCACTGTCACATCAAATACATAGTAAAATGTATCAAATGTTGTCAAATGGTTACTTTTACTATGGTATTTTTATTTATACTATGCATCAAACAACGGGACCTAGTCAATACCATGATCGATAATCGATATAAATACTTTTTAACAGGAAAGTGAAACCCGAGGCATTCACGTGATAGTTAAATATCATTACTAGACAATGTCACGTCAAATACTCGTACATTGTAAAATGTGTTAAATTTTTCCAAATGGTTACTTTTACTATGGTATTTGAATTATACTCACATTGAACTATGTATCAAACAACGGAGCCTTGTCACTACATGATCGATATATACTTTCTACACAACAGTCAAAAAAAGAGAGTAATATATTCAGAGTTCATGTATGTACATTTATTTATTGAAAGGAAAGTGAAACCCGAGACTTGACTTTTCGGTTATCCAGATAATATGACCATTAAATATCGTAATACATATCCAGATTATCCGGACCCATATTATGTTTGGGTCGCTCTATTTATCCGGATTTCGAAATCCTTTTGTAGGGATGTTTGTTTGTATAAGGCTTAAAATGGATGAATTAAAGTCGTGTTATTATCTTTATTATAAGACCTAAATGAGTTGCCCGATATTATTTGAATATTCGGGTAGTAACGTCTAAAATATACGGAGTCGGGTTATCAATATAGCTACGCATCAAGATGATGATAGATGGAATGTTTGTCGCGATGTGTGATGGCACAAAACAGCAGCTGGAATTAATCCAAACAATTTCCTCTGAACTCTGCCCGTGATAAATGCGACAGAAGATGCAGAGCGAAACTACATTCCTACGCAATGCCAAAGGATCAAGTTTATCGGAAAGATTCTGGTCGTCGACGATTGGAGCCGCTCGGCGCAGGATGGAGAAGCTGGTACTGGAGTGCCCCCACCCAGAGATGAGCATGAATAGTAATTCATCCATTACTTCATAATCACAGAACTGCCAAAAAAGGAGCACAAAAGAGTTCATTTGAATAAACAAACTGTATTTCGGTATACAAATTGGCTGCTATCCAGTATCCTACACACTAACATTGGTAATAAGAATATAATCTGCTATGCGTAATGAAAGCCCCGGATGGCATTGGATTGGACTCCAATCACCGCTTTGAAAGTCCGCCCAATTATAAAATATGTATTCAAAAGTTCATTCGATATTCTAGCGCTAGTTGTTCAGTCACGAATACGAGCAAATGTCAAACTTTACTCGGTTGATTGACGATCTTTAAACGTATTCTTCTATTGAATCTTATTACTGAAAAAATCATTTACAAGCGGTCGTTGCAACTTTCTAAAAAGTATTTTACCGTTAATGTTTAAAAGCATTCCTTGGCATTTGAAAGAATGGCTATCACACAAAAAACTTGGTGTAGTTTTATGAAATCAAAATGCGAGTCAAACTTTAGAGGGTTATTACAAAATGAAAAGTATGGAAGTAGTTAGCTCCTCGCAGAAGCAACGTAAGACTTTTGTTTACAAACATTAACGAAATAGCGTTTAACCGGCTCAGTGGCAGATATTATGCTATTGAACATGCGCTTCGCATACTAAAATTTGATGTTTCTTGATAAGATTTCAGAGTTTTCGATAATACCCTATGCCATGGGTGGAAAGAATGATAAAATGATGCAAAATTTATGTAATGATAACTTTTGACATAAAAATTGGGCATTTGAATGATAATACTATCTTACATAATGTTTATGCAATGTTTTTCTACTATAGACCTATATAACCAATGATATTAAATAAAACAGAATGTTTACTTTCAGTCTCAAAATAGGTATACTATCTTTAAAAGGCGTTGACCTCATGATAACCACCAAAGTGTTTAGACTTCTCCAGCCATTTGCCAGATAGTTAAGGTGGCTTAGGTTACATCAATTTCGTTGAAAGGCTAGTCACAGATCGTCTGGCTAGATAAAAAATAATGTCGGATCCTCAGACCAAGAATCGGATCCTACAAAAAATTGTTCGTATAAGTTTATTTTATGACTAGTTATAAATCGATGTTGTCAAACTACTACGTTTTAAAACCATCGGTAAGCGAGTTTTACTGCGTTCAATTCAAGTCGATGAAAAAAATATTTTAAGCTAAGGTCATTAAAGTTAAAGGATTGTTTATATTGACCGTCGAAGAATAAGGCACTAAACTGGTTATATTTGTTGGCTAAACTAATGATCAGCGTAGGTAAGGAGGTGGAGTATTGACGTAAACGAACCTCAAAATACGCAAATGATAATAATGCTAATGACCTATTCATTTTAATCTTCGAAGAAAAATTGTGTGCTCGTTTTCATTAATTTCAAAACTTTACTTAATAGATTAAGAACGTTATTTAGTACTGTTGTCATTCAACAGGTTATTCTGAAATTCTCAGTTTTATCTTTAATTTTGTATATTATAAAATCAAACAATTAAATTTAGATTTTTTAAATAATTAGTATTTTTTATGCTCTTCCAAGGGCAAAACATATGGAACTATATTTTTTTACCAAGTAAAACAAACTTTCATTTCATTTCAATCCATCATGAACTGTAGAAAGTTTATGACGACCTCCGTGGCCAAGTGGTTTGTACGCCGGGTTTCATGGTGTCGCCGACTCGAGAGGTCCCGGGTTCGAATCCCGGTGGGGGCAGATGTTTTTGTGATGAAGACAAGCATTTGCACTCCAGTTACATTTCTATATAAATATACTTATATATATAAATATCCCATAATACAAACCTTACAGTGCTTACTTTGGGACTAGGCTAATTGGTGTGAGTGTTGGAATTATTTGTTTATTTATTTAAGCCTAAACTTACTGAAAATATTTTCTGCATACTTAGACTGATTCAAAGTATGCCCACAAGATTGTTGCAATACTTCATAATATTTTTGCAGCTCGATTGCTACTAGAGCCAATTGAGGCTTATTCTAGTCTTTCGAATATGACAACACCGCACGATTTGTATATGTCTGACTTTCGCCTGATGATACGGACGGAATATCGAAAAGGAAGCACGCGCGAGGAACTCTATATGAATACTACGTGAGCAGTGTAAAATAACAATACACGTCATATTTGAGAACTGAATGCTACTTCAGTTTAAGGTAATCAAAATGATTCACAAAGTGGAGAATGTTATAATATTAACATACATTTAGGTAGTAGTAGCATTTAAGATAGATTTTATTTCTGATCTCAATGAAAAGAGATCATTTACAATTTATGATGTTTTTTGGATTACATTAATAATAGAATAGGTAGCAATATCTGTTTGTAACAAATTTTCAAATGCGACAGTAATAAATTTACAAGGAATGTTGATGCACTGTAATAAAGGAGTTAAATTTTTATTGAACTTTGGGCGTCAGAACTTTCCGGTCGGTTTGCAATTCTGTTATTGTGAATCGAATGGAGATGGTGACGCTGATGATACAAAAAATGCAGACAATCACAAGATCAATCAAGAATTCTATTAGGAATTGTTATTAAGAAAATATTTAAATATACACTTGTTCAAAACATGATCTCAGATTTTGTTCTTAACGCCTACAATTGGCAATTTAAATCATCGGAACGTAAATCTTTAAAAATGGACATGTTTGATTGTAGTTTAACCTCTGAACGGTTTCGCAATACAGCATTAATAACTAATATTACCTACTTCGAATCTGGCAGAACTTTATTGAAAATCAATTTCGAATACATTTTGATATTTAGAATATTAAAGACGACTTTTTTAATATAGGTTCGAACAAATGACTCTACCCCACCTGGTGTTAAGTGGCGGTGGATTTCAGATATGAAGATCATCAAAAGCTAGTCCATCAGTTTTACCTGCCACACCAGCCATCACAAAACCTCACCATCACCGGAGCTGAGCGATTCTGACAACACACCCTCCACACGCAGAACAGGGGCCAATGGACGTCGAACTGCGGTAACGCCTCTAGTACAGAAGAAAAACAATGTATTTACCTTGGCACACAGATGGAGTAGTACAAGCCGTGGTTCTTTAGCACGTGGTAGAACTCGGGCAGCATCCGACATGCGCCCATGATGCTGAACGCAGCCAGGCCGCAGTTCCACACCATCAGGGTGCGCCGGAGCTCGAACCTGAGGATGGACAGAGAAAGGTGACGTCATTATTTGATACACAAACAGCTACGGGGAGAGATATTTGAGGGCCCCTCACTTACTTTAGTTACTTTACAATATAACTAAGTTTAAAGCAGCCTATTTAATAACGCCCACATTAGGAGAAGTAAATTTATCGATGCATTAAAAGGTTTCACCCATACGCGTCATTTGAAGTATTTTAAAGGCGATGCCCAGACACCTTTGTTTTCTGCCAATCTTCTATAAGAAATTGACCAAGTACCTATTCACTTGGTTACATGCTGAAAAAACATTGCTGTAGGCAATGGAGACCTTCCAGTAGTAGTTTTTGAATTACGTAGTTAGAAATTTTCAGAAGTTTAAAACTTTTATTCATCATCATCATCAGCCTATTAATATCCCCACAGCTAGGGCACAGGCCTTCCCTATGGATGAAATAGGGAGATTGGGCCATGACCCACCACTCGGGCCCAGTGCAGATTGGCGGGTGCTAACGATGCAGATGCGGCCGGGACCAACGGCTTAACCTGTCTTCCGAATCACGAAGGAACTCGAAATAGAAGATTTTTTGTTCACCCATCTAATTACTGACCACTGCGAATGTTGCTTAACTTAATAGATCGCAGCCGAACGCGCTAACCACCTGCGCCATCGAACTCCTCAAAACTTTTATTAAAATAACATAATTTTTTGCTCTGCAATGATGTAAACGTAAAACTAATCGAAGAAAGGAATAAAAAATGTTGTACATTTGGCGGTCATCTGGTATATCTTGTTAAATACAATGTAAATGTATGGTTTCCGTATTTACTTAATAGATTATGGCCGATGGTACGCAATCTCGACGCGACTGGATCTGTTTCGAACTAACGTTCAATAAAAGCGCAGTTTAGTTTTAAAATATCATAGGTAGTAAATTTTTTAGAAATCTCAGTTCTGCATATATAACTGTACTCACGGCTTCAGCTTCCGTACCACAGACATAGATCTATGTCTGTGTTCCGTACCTATTCACCTTCATAGTAAAGTTTAGCTTTCAATGGCATTCAAGTGAATCTTCTCATCCGTTCCCAAATTTAATACAATAAAAGTAAACATTAAATTGTTATTATACACCTAGCGTAAGTTAACTAAATAACGTCCTCGCAGAATACTATTTTTAAAATATCTGGATCTTATTCAATATGCCAAAAAAAATATCACTATGTTACGACAAGTTTCAATAATCACCCTTAAGTAAAAGGCAATCATAATGTGGTTCGTTTATTAGCAACAGTTATTCTTATAGTCTTGCTAATAAAAATATCAAAACTACCCAGCTTTAGTAGGCATCTCTCAGTGGGGTTTGATGATTGTAACTGGCCGTAAGAGATAATGAATAAAAAGGAAAATATGAGGTCTATGACGAAGTTCCAGCTCTCAAGATCAAGGATAATGAAATGAAAGCAGCAAATAAAGAAGATTTGGTACTCCTATTTTATGAGTCAAAAGGATTAGATGGATTCTATTGCAATAGCTTTCAATTTGACGTCTATCAAACAAACGTTAAACGATTGTCGTTACGTCTTGTATCCGATTCGTAGAACTATGCTTTAATAACTTAGTGTTTACAAACGTTGCATTTTAATTTCATGTGCACTTGAAATACGATGGTTTTATTATTCTCAGGGGGCCATTCGCCTAACGGAAATGCTTTGGAAAACGCTAACGCTTATGATCTCATTTTGTTATTTCTAGCTGCCTGAGGTTTTAAATGCCTCGCGCTCTTTATTTTCTTTTGCATTGGTAATAACAATATTAAAAATATTAGCGTGAGGTATTTGAAAACCTTTGGCGGTCAGAAATAACATAATAAAATCGAAAGCGTTAGCGTTTTCCTAAGCATTTCCGTTAGACGAATGGCCCCCTGAGAATAATAAAACCATCGTATTTCAAGTGCACATGAAATTAAAATGCAACGTTTGTAAACACTAAGTTATTAAAGCATAGTTCTACGAATAGGATACAAGACGTAACGACAATCGTTTAACGTTTAATAAACCGTAATTAAATCAATTACTCATTCTATAGATAACAGTTATGATACCAGTAGTTATGATAAACGAGTTAGCGAGACGATTGTTATGTACTTAACCCGTTCCCGTACAGCATCCATCACTACCTAAATGACATAATCCTGGCTATCCTGCTCGACTACACAAACACGTGTTGATAGAATGTCATAGTATTCTGAAACCGTGAACATCGAAATAGATAACAAACGTTTCAAAATTCACCGCGTATAACATAATGAAATACTTTAACCAAATTTATAAGCGGAAGGTACATAGTCTGAAGTAGTGATGTAACGAATGTCATTTTTTGAACATTCGCGAATGCGAATATCTGACACCGACATTCGCGAATGCTAATATTTAGTTTTTGTTCAAAATTTACGCTAATTGTCTATGGTATGGTGGCAGTCTCGTTCGAATTGCCGAGTTGATATGGACTCAACCGACTGAAGTATATAAGCATTCCGCTCGCGCGGGTCTTTTCGTAAACAAAACAAGTGAATTTTGAGGTTATAGTTTGAATAGTGATTTATTAACATGAGTAAATTATTTTTTTGTGAAATATGGACATGTTTCACACATTGCTATTCTGAACGAGCTAAATGCAAGCTGTGTAACAATGAATATTCAAGGAAAGAAAGAACTACAATTGCTTCAAATTGTTTTTTTCTAATATTCATATTCGCAAAACATTCGCAGCGATTTTGTGAATGCGAATATTCAAAAACATGCGAATATTCGCGAATGCGAATATTCGTTTCATCACTAGTCTGAACACAAAAAAAAACTATGATTGTAAATTTCCAAAAAAAAATTATCTTTTCCAAAATATTTTTTTTACATCTTCTTAAAGCCGTTGCAAGCGCCATGATCACGGAGTAACTGAAGTAATTGCGGGTAGGCTGTTATTGGCAGACATATCGGTCTACCCTCCGACGAAGTCTTTTTATTGCGACCCGTACCACTGTTCACATTCTCACTATTCACTCGAAACTGTTCTCGACACACAACACTTACAGTATCGGATCGCGACACGACACTTTTTTGATTATTTCCGGTTTTACATATACGAACCACAGGATTCCAGACACTCGACAATTTAAACCCGTCCTCACGATTGAAATTTTTATGTTTTGTTATTTCAATCGCTTCCCTGACCAATCTTGGTATGTAGTGGCGTTCTGTCGAGATAATCTGTGGGTTATGAAACTCAATCCAGTGGTTAGAACCAGAATTAATCAAATGTTCCGCGATGGCTGATTTCTGCGTATCGTTGTTCTTGATTGCTTTTATGTGTTCCCTCATTCGGCATGATACTGTTCGCTTTGTTTGGCCAATGTACATGGTAACAATCCCGTAAATAACTTATATTACTATAATGTTAGTGACCATGAAAGTTTAAAACAATATATTCTTAAAGCCCTTCAAATTTCGCGTCTTTTGAGCCCTCATACGCACTCATGGTCCTAAACCTCGGGGTATCACGAGAAGGAACATTTCTCCAATGAACATTTTAGGTCATTACACTTTTTTCGATATTGGTGACGTTTGAGGCTGTAGAGGTGCCCTTAGCCGTGAGTTTTTCGCAGCGCGAGGTGCGATATCACACGAGGACGTATGAGTGCTCAAAAGACGCGGAATTCGAAGGGCTTTAAGATGATGTAAAAACATTTTAGAAAAGTTGGATTTGAAAAAATAAAAATGGTTTAGAAATTTTTCATTTTTTTTTAATAACCTATAATGCGTAGATTAATTTTCAATGCCCTTTCAAGTCGTGTAGAGCCCGACATCTGTGTTTTTTTTTAATATAACACAAGTCAAAGTGTAATCATACAATTTCTATACTTATTGAAAATTAAATATTAAAAAGAGCGTTAGCCTGTGTCTGTGTGTAAAATTTTTATTATATCCGTGGTAGAGACATAATCAGCAAGTAATAAATGGGGAACGACGGCAGTAAAGAATGTTATGTTACAATGCAAGATCAACCACAACGTGCCCGATAAATATTTAGAGACCTACCGTCAGACTCGACATTTATAATAAAATAAGACAGCACATGGCAAGAATTAAAGTTTTAGCGAGATGACTCGGAAAATTACCATTTATTCAATGGTGCTGTCTTTTATATATACTTATATATATATATATTTATATATTGCAAAATAGTTTGATTTTGTTTTTAAGATGATTTTTTTCAATAATAAATTTTCAATTTGCGATCATTGATATTTTACATAATTCTTGACGTTTAAAATAACTGAGATGTTTTTGTTTTATTTTATAATTCTAACTACCGTCTCAAAATATTTATCGAGCACGTTATAACATTTCGAAACGGGTTTTTTATGTATTCATTTTTACGGCGCGTGCATAGAGTGCTCATTATAGAACAAAAGCATTTTAGCAATGATGTTTTATATAAATCAGAAATCAATATATCTTCATTCAACATCCAATTTGAATACAACTCTTTTGAAACTTACAAATTTGTTTCCGCTACCATTCGTTATTGGACTTATTTTTTAGCTGCGGAGAAAAACGAGCGAAAAAAAGCTCCACATTAAAAGTACATATAATGTTACAACATTTACAATTCATTATGTTGTTACAACGTCAATACAATCATGATTTATTTAATATAGAAAACCTGTTGGAATCATTGGCACAGTTCAAGCCCAACCATTTTTTGTCCTTAATATAATCAGACACTTTGTAATAAGCTTTTTCAATAAGTGTTTTTTTGTACTACCTTGTAACTGTTGGATATTGCTTGGGACTTTATAAGCGGACACAAATACCTTTAAATGAATTATTGACTTTGTGAAGCCTAATAGCAAGTAGGGTTAGTTTTTTTTTTCTTGTATTATGTGAACATCGCTGTTTTTAAGAAACAAATTAATATTTTTTTCTTAAAAGTAATAATTTTTCGTATATGTATTG